GCTTCCTGACAGGGTTGCAGAAGGCCTTTATAAATAAAGCATTGATTGATTGATTAAATCACTGGTCGTTAGCTGCCTTTCATTTGTAAATGCAGCCAGCCACCGATGATGGCCAATGGAATGTGCTTGGGTGTTGGGGGTTGCCAGTCTTTCAGGCTGGCCCATCGACATATATATACTGGCCCAGTGGCTCTACTTGTCTCTCTCCTGATAGGTATTTTCTGTATTTAATGTACCTTTTTGAGGCCTAAAGAACGTTGCAGGACATAAGTATTTGTTTAAACGAAAGGTCATCGATCTTCTTTGATCACATTTTAGAGAGGTGAAGAATGGCCTCTGTGATCACTTCCTGAGACAAGATGAAGGTCCAAACAATATGTGTTGACTGAGTTACCCCGGTCAGCTGATTCTGAAGAATGTTGATTAAGTTACCGGTCAGCTGAGGAGTTGTGTGTGTATTTTGACTGTGTAGTTCCTCTGTAAGCCTGCTGTGCTGTTATCTCTGGAATATGGTCTCCTAGGAGATGAGTCTAACTTTGAAACTCAAGGAAGGCCCGCCCTCCATCCCATTGTACAATAAAAACCTCTGTTGAGCTGGGAGGGGTGGGGGAGACGTTGGAAACAGCTCCGGAGGGAGTTGTGCCTCGCCTCCTCTCCATTCTTGATGAGACAGTGTAAATTGAACTCCTCTTTGTATTTGGTGTGTTTATTTCAGGTTACGGGTTATGGAGAAAGTAAAAATTACCCAACATCTCCTGTCTTGAATCTGGTTGACTGAACTTGTCCATCCAAAGACTTCACAGAAGCACACAAAGGACAAGAAAGGATTTTTTACATAGCGGTTAATAAAAAAAGCATGAGTCCCTTCAAAAGAACAATTAAAATATAAAAAAGGTATAAAAAATAATAAAAACTTGAAGATATAATGAAGAATTAAGAATTTAAAAAATGAGAGTAAAAATGAAAAATAAAATAAAATAAAATAAAATAAAAGGTTAGCATGGGATCCTGAAAAATGTGGAATTGTTCGTGTCCTCTGTCCTATGTCTCCCATGTCTCTCCCCTTTCCTATGCATCATTGCGTTTTCTGTCCCTCTATTTATTATCTTTCAGCTTTCATACTCACACCCTTGTTACCGTGTCAGTCCAGCCATCCCCAGCCCCAGCCTCTGATTATTTCAGTTTTTACTTCTCATCAGTTTTCACTTTCTTATTTTTTGTGTAATATTTGTATTTTCATGTTTTATTTAACTTCTGTTTTGTGCCTTTGATCACTGCGTTTTCTAGTTTTTTTTTAATTTAGAGTCTCTTCCCTTACACTCTGCCTCTCTGAAATCAAATCATGGTTCACCTCTAATTTCCTCAAACTCAACGGCAATAAAACTGAACTTCTTCTAGTTGGAACTAACTCCACCCTCTCAACATCTGACAGCTTTTCTTTAACTATTGACAGCGCCACAGTCTCCCCCTCACCTCACGTCAAGAGTCTGGGTGTCATTCTCGACAGCTCACTTTCTTTTCAAGCTGACATTAATAACTTAATTCGGTCAGCATACTTCCATCTACGTTCCATAAACCGTCTCCGTCCCTCACTGACCCCTCACACTGCCGCCATTCTCGTCCACAGCCTCGTCACCTCCCGTATCGACTATTGCAATTCACTTCTTTATGGTCTCCCCAACAAACTCCTTCATAAACTGCAACTGGTCCAGAATTCAGCAGCCCGTATTATCACCAGAAACCCTTCCTTTCACCACATCACCCCGGTTCTCCAGCAGCTTCACTGGCTCCCAGTTAAATTCAGGCCCATCTTCAAAATTCTCCTTCATACCTTCAAAGCAATCCACAACCTCTCTCCTCCGTATATCTCAGACCTTATAAGTATTCACACCCCATCCCGTTCACTCAGATCTTCTTCTTCCATCCATCTTGCAGTTCCTTCTGCCCGTCTCGCTACCATGGGGAGCAGAGCTTTCAGCCGCTCTGCTCCTCGACTCTGGAACTCACTTCCCCCAGACATCAGGAACATCGACAGTTTTACCCTTTTCAAAACAAAACTCAAAACACACATGTTTAAATCTGCCTACAACCTCTGATTTTATTGAACTGTTTCTCTCTTTGTTTTTTCTTCTTTGGGTTTTATTATTGTTTTATTGTATTTTATTACGTGTTTTGTGTAAAGTGACCTTGGGTGTCCTGAAAGGCGCTTTTAAATAAAATGTATTATTATTATTATTATTATTATTATCTTCTCCTGTTCTAGTTTTTTCCCAATTGTGTTCATCCCCTCTGCTCTTAGATTAACTCAGTACGATCCTGTTCTCGGTGTTAAGTTTTATCATGTTGTTACTTTATCCTTATGTTCTCCTAGCTTTTCACTTTCAGTAATCTTCATGTTTACGCTGCATTATGGTTCTTTTTTAACACAGAAAAAGTGTTATGTTTACCTTGTTTTTACTGATGTTTCGACTATCACTGCTGCCTTCTTTAGAGTGTTGCCACTGCTGGTGGCATCCCTTCCTTTCCTGTGTGTGTGTTGAGTTGCCGTCCGGCTTCACCAACGTGTGTTTTATTGCACAGCTTGCGTGGGATTTGAAGTATGACTCCACATTAGTGTTCTGCTGATGTCTTTGGGGCGTACAAGTGCTTTTCTAACTGTGATGTATGGTTTTGTTGGTGTACTTATGTTGTGTTTTTTCATTGTTGCCATTGTTTTCTGTTATGCCTTTTATGTGTGCTTACATAAACAGAGTAAGAAGTGTCTTCTGGTCAGAAATCACAACCAGCCAACAACAACGGAGGCCTGCCATTAGAGCCTCACAGGCAGGATAACTGCAGGGCCGACTTGAACTGTTCAGCTAATTGTGAATAGGTGACTTTTAGCAGACGGACTTGCTATAGTTGCATTTGAAAAGATGGCTCCTAACACCTATGATAAAGCTGCTTTTCAGGTGTAGAGAACAAGTCACACTCAGACACAGACGTGGGTGTGGTGTGTTGGACGGTGGGCGGGATTGTGAACTGTGGTGACAACAGAAACTCGGGAATACGAAGAACAGTTTACTACAATATTTCCAGCTGTTGTTGTGAGTGAATTATTTCTTTTTTCATTCTGTCAGAAGAAAACAGATTTTTCTGATTGTTGGTCAGCGTTGTTGGCTGATGTAGTTTAAAATGTTCTGATGAGACTCAGATGAATTCAGACTGAATATTCACAGCTTTAGTCTTGTGTTAAATCTGGTTACACATCTCTACCCATATGAATAAGATCATATATCCTACATTCATGTTATTAAATATAAATAAAACAGTACTGACACATAAACAGCTTTTTTATAATGAAAACGTCCACGCTGACCGGTAATCAAACCTGGATCTGGCTGATGGGGAGCCCAAGTCTCCTCCCCTTCTGGTTGGCTCATGGGTCCCTGATCAAAATAATAAAGAATGTTAGTGAACACGGTTATAAAAGTTATTTTCTTGTCTTTCTGGGCTGTGCCTTACGCCCTGAGTCACATCTTTCAGGCTTTTCTAATCCTAGAGTTTCACCGTCTATTTTCTAAAGGAAGCTAATGCAGGAGATCGGTGTAGGAGACTATTTTCATGTTCCGCCTGCATGAAACACTCAGAGTGACTCGTTAGAATCAGAAATAATCATTAAATGTATTCTTTTCAGTGAGTTTGACCTATATGTTGATCTACAACTGATTTGTTAGATTTCCCAAATGTGTCCCTAATATTAAACTCGTTCCTACGCCCTTGTTACATCCTCTCTAGTCTCTCTTCCCATCTAACACTTTATAAATAAACTGAACTGAACTAAGAACATCAGGAGGGATGAAATAATTTGTTCCTCCAGAGAACTGATTGTTGAATTCCAGTAACAGATGGATCAGTTTTCTCTTTGTCCCTAAAAACCTGCAGCTGTGTGATTCCAGCTAAATCTGCTCTGTTGATCGTTTCCCTCAGATCTTCAACAGTTTCTCTTTCCACTGTTATTAGTCTCATTCTGTCACCTTTTGACCTGAACCTGTGATCCACACCTTCATCTCTTCCTTGTTGTTGCTGGTCCAACTCCAGTCCAGTAGGTGGCGCTAACGCGCCTTCACGCTGCCACATGACCGGAAGCTGTTATCAGAGCTAGCTTGTTGTTAGCTACCAGCGCTAGCTTGCTGTGCTGGTGTGTGAGGGGAACCTCTGAGGCTCTGCAGCAACAATGTCTTCAGCTCAGTCTCTGAGAGAGGTGATCAGAGAGCGGCTAACTGCTGCTGCTGCAGAAATCTTCTCCGAGTTTGAAAAAACCATCGTCCGCTACGAGGAAGAGATCGATCGTCAGCGCAGACTGCTGGAGATCAGCTGGAAACCACAGATCAACTTACACAGAATAGGTATGAAACAGCAGCGGGACTCATGTGGGTTTACTGAGGACACAATCTCAGGACAGTCTGCTTGGATCCGTTTGCTGTTCTGAAGCTTTTTGACCCAACTGAGCTGAAATCTTTCTGCGGTCAACTTTGTTCCACTTTAGAGAAACAAATCAATAACATTTCAGGGATTTTAGGAAGTTTTCATTTTCAGGAACTCCACTAAATCAGTTTAAAAGAGACAAACTTTAAAGACTTGGTGAACGTTTCCAGCTGATGTTCTACAATCAGAGACTTGTTAAACGAGTCAGTCTGATAGATACTGAGTCCACACACACACACACACACACACACACACACACACACACACACACACACACACACACACACACACACACAGTCTGATAGATACGGAGTCCAGTCACACACACACACACACACACACACACACACACACACACACACACACACACACACACACACGCACGCACGCGCGCACACACACACACACACACACACAGGTTAAGAGTTCATTGTTTTCTAAAACATCTTCAGATGCATCAGATGGTTCAAGTGAAGTGTGCTTTCTTATTGTCACATGACTCAGCTTTTTGTTTGGTCTGTTCGTCTGTCCAGAACTCCCACTGCATTATGTCAGGACACATGAGGAGGTTCTGACTGACCAGCAGCTCTGGAACCAGGAGAGGACCTCCAGTTTGGAGCAGGAACAAGCAGAACCTTTACAGGAGGGACCAGAACCTCCACAGATGAAAGTGGAGCAGGATGAGCCAGAACCTTTGCAGATAGTAAAACAAGAGGAGCTCTGCATCAGTCAGGATGAAGAGCAGTGTGTACTGAAGCAGGAGACGGTGACCTCCCTTGTGACTCCTGCTGGTGAGGAAAGAGACCACGATGAAGCAGAACCAGACAGACACCAACTCCTTTTGTCACTGTTTCCTGAGGCTGAGATCAGAGCTGCTGCTGCTCCGGGGTCAACAGGTGAGGGGGGGGTGCTATGTTTGTTTTCCTTACTGTGATGTCACAATAAGGGACTTCTTGAAACTGCTCATTTTAGGCAAATCAGCTTTATTTTAGGGCTGCCTTTTATGTGACGACTTTAGTCAAATAAAAGGCAAATCTGCAGCGAGGCTCCTAACTGGAGCAAACGGAAGAGCTCACATCACTCCTATTCTAACGTCTCTGCACTGGTTACCCGTTAACTTTAGAGTTAATTTTAGAATCCTGACTATATTTTAAGTTTGGATCTAACGCTGGTGCCGCGGTAAAAAAAACAAAACTGCATTCCACTATAATTGGTTATGGCTTGCTTCTTCAATGAATCATAATCATATTTCGATACATTGATTGTAATGTTTTGTAAGTGGTCACAATTAGTAAGTAAACCAACCAAATTATAAGTAAAATACATAATTTCTTGCCCAAAATTCCCATGATGCAATGCAAGAAACATTAGCATACTGAAATATAAATGACTCATGACTGGAACATAATAGAGTTGTCACGGTGTGAAAATGTAACCTCGCGGTTATTGTGACCAAATTATGGTTTTCATTATTATCGCTGTATTTTTTTAACATGTTAACTAACTAAACCCTCTATATCAGGAAAATGTCATCAGTTTGTGTCTAAAATTCACACTTGAGGTTGTATACATTAAGTGTGGTTTAATTTTTTTTGTCGTAAAGTAAAAAAATGAGATTTTGACTACTTTAATCACATATTCCTTAAAGGGACATTATGGAAGTGTGACAGCCAAAACATGTATAGAAATAATAAATGCCTTCTTCATACATTCTCCTGCAATGCCCTGGTCCTGTAGAATGAGCCCTGGCATTTTTACTGTGATTGCCTCTTTTTCTGTAAAATCACAGAAAAAGAGAGATGCTCGGGTCGAGCAGGCTGCTTCATGCGCGTTCACGCTCAGGCATCGCCCGTAGCATTTGCTATCCATAGCTTTAGCAGCAGAGAGAGAGGCAGTGCCGCTTTGTCGCTGTTCCTAACGCCTAGTGACAAAGCTAGCTACATTTCTGAGCACCCTTAGCTACTTTCTGTAGAACTTTCTTCTAGATATTTCCTGCAAATTAGCAACAAAATAGCCATTTTCACTCCAAACCGTGCTCTGAAAGTTGTTTTAGCTGTCATCAAGGATTTAAATGTTACAGATATAAAGGACGTCACTGGCGCTTTAGCTCACTTAGTAAGACGTCAGACTCTCGTGCAGAAGACCTGGGTTCGATTCTGGATGTGAACATAGTTTATTTAGAGTTTCTTTTTTACATTAATGGCAGGGGTGGACCTTTAAAGCGCCCGAGCGCCAACGGCGCTAAATTTTCTCGTCGGGCGGTAAATACTTGACGACTTACCGCCCGGGTGGCGCCCAAGCTTTATTTGTCATTTACACACCGGCTTTCACCTACATCATGGCCCCGCCCTGTAGGAAGCTGCCGTTTTCGTTTCGCGCGCGTGAACCTGCGCGCCTCTAGCCACGTACGGCACTTGTACGATTCGTGCACGTCCTGCACGAATCTAGTTATAGTCACGTGAACTATAAGTTCACTATTAAAGACGAAGTGGAACCACGCTAGAAACACACAAGCACGCAGGAAGATGGCGCCACCACAGGGATGGGATTTCTTGATGAAATCTCCGGCAAAACGCTTTAAAACTGGTGAGGAGAAGCGAGACAGTTCGAAACGGTATGAAGCAGAGAAGCGTGTGCGTAGGTGGAATGATTCTTGGCGGTTTAAAGAAGACGGGAGGCGCGGAGAATGGCCGTGTTCGAGTTGAGCTGCACCTCGCCTGGAACACAGACGAGAGCAGACGGAAGCAGCAGGGGGAGGGGCTGAAAGCCGGCGTTTAACGCCGGGGACACACCGGCCGCGGAAGCGCCCGAAGCGAATCGCTCACGAAGTCCGGCCGCTGCTCGCTGCTCCTCAGTTCAGACGCGCCCCATTCGAGGCGCGCCTCGGCTCAGCTGTAGTTTTTCTTTTAACTACTTGGTGTCCTCCATTTCCTCAGCTCTTTTCCTCTGTGTGTGTGTGTGTGTGTGTGTGTGTGTGTGTGTGTGTGTGTGTGTGTGTGTGTGTGTGTGTGTGTGTGTGTGTGTGTGTGTGTGTGTGTGTGTGTGTGTGTGTGTGTGTGTGTGTGTGTGTGTGTGTGTGTGTGTGTGTGTGTGAGAGAGAGAGATGTGAACCAGTTGTTTCTGCCAGTTGAATCTCTTGGACTTACCTGCATGTGTAGCTCGGGGGTGACGATGGCTGAAGATATCGCGTTAGCATTCACACTTGTTCAATTTTCAATTGTAATTCTGGTGCCTGTTAGCAGCTGAAACACATCCTCACGTGCTTGTGGATATCATATATTGTATATGAAGACATGACTGTAATAATAAGTAAAGGTTAGCAGCTGTAGCTTCAGTGAGCTCATAGGAAACATGACAAAAGAAAACAAAACACATTTCTCTTTATGGCCTATATAGTCATCATCATCAACATAACATGATTTACAGAATACATGTGACCATCTAACATTTCATGTTCTACCACCGGATGTTTGGATCAAAATGTGAACCAATCAGATCTTAGATCAGGTGAGAGCCAGGCGTTTCCCGTCATCCTCTAGGTTTTGCAGCCGGTAGAGAGCAACTGCAGCGCCTTGCTCCAAAATCTGCGGCCGCCTTGATCTCACGAGGTTATCGATGCCTACGTATGCATGACTCAGAGCAAGTCGGGTCAATTCGGACACAAATCTAACCGGCATGCATTAGGGCTGTCGCGGTAACCGCAAAAATGAAATATCGCAATATGAAGAAGCCCACCGCGCTGCATCATGGGCCACCGCGATTACTGAACTTGGTTCAACTCAATGATGCATGTTGAGAAGGATGGCTGCACTGGTATCAAAACGAAACGTCACTTCGCTCCTTTGGGAGCACTTTGGTTTTCAGTACGTCAGCTGCTGCGCAGCCAGAGTCCTTGGCCGAGACAGAGCTGCCACCAGCGGCAAAAAAATAATAATAAACGCTCGGAGACCTGCTGAAGTCCCGGACAAGCACTGCTTCTGCAACCGTCCCGAAGAGAGTTTGAGCCGAGCTGGAGCTCACTCGCTACCTGCAGGAGGAATGCAACCGGGAGAGATTCCCTTTGCTCGCCAGAGTCGCACACAAGTACGTGTGCGTTAGTGCAACGAGCGCACCATCCGAGAGGGTTTTCAGTGTTGCTGGAAATGTTGCCACCCCTCTCAGATCCTCTCTCAAACCGTATATGGTTAACATGCTGGTTTTGCTTGTAAGTAACAAGGACGTGACTGAGCTATAAATCACCGTCATTCGTGTGTGTGAAAGTGAAATTATAGTGCGCCCGCCACCCGGCGCGCGCACGCCCGGTACATGTAATTTTTTTATGCTTGATTTTAAACAACTAAACAACATGGGGACTTGTTTCTTATTTGTTAGATGCTGCAGCCAAATTTGCATTTAAAAGTTTAACCTCCTGAATTTTGTTGTCTTTAAGTTCAGTCGGACTCCGACTGTCGGAGAAACAAACGTTACTGCGATCTGTGTTGTTACTGCCCTTTGATCTGCATTCAGTAAAGTGTTATTAAAGAAGGCACGGCAATTTTAACCTTTTTTAAATGTGTAAACCTTATGTTTAGATAGTACTGCAATAAAAAAAAGAAGTGCTGCAATAATATCGCACACCGCAATATTAAGCCACCCTGAATCACCGCAGGAGGAATTCCTCAACCGCGACAGCCCTAGCATGCACTGCTCGCCGATCACCGCTGGTCTAACCTGCGCAGAACTGGCTCATCTCGAACACGGTCAATGGCTCCAATACAGCAAAGCGGCGTTGGTGATGTACTGCGTTGTATGCCGGAAGTATGCGACGACAAAATCGAGTTTTGTTGAGGGAACAAACAAATTCAAACTTGAATACGTTATTATGTTTGTAAATGTGTACAAAATAAAGGTTTATTACATTTAAAATGGTTCAGTTGTTATTTTGACTCGTTTTGGCAGCTGACCAGCGGGGCCGGTAGATTCTTGGCGGGGCCGGTAAATATTCAGAGTTACCGGCCCGGCTGGCCGGTTGGTTTTGACGTTAATGTCCACCCCTGTTAATGGTATATTTTTTTACAGTAAGATGCCCAAATTTTTATTTGAGACTCGCCGAACGGCATTGAATTCACAGATAAAAAAGATGTGGGTTCAACTTTCATTTTGGAACAATTTTTCAAGCAAGGCAAGAGAATGATCTGAGCATGCAGGAGGACTGACCCATCTTAAACCTTTGTCGGCTGTGCTGAAGAGAAAGGTACAGAACCAAATTATTTAATTAATTAGCTGCACGTTCTCCTGTCCTCCGGCCCCCCCCCCCCCCCCCCCCCCACACACACACACACACGGGACTGTCTCAGCTGTTATTTTCGTTAAGGAGTGTGCACGTACAGCATGCGCGCCTCGTGCACGAGCCTACTATTGAAGCTGCCGTTACGCTTTTGGCCTGAGGGGGCAATCACGAGCATAAAAATTCAAAACTCCGTAAAGTCCCTTTAAGCACAAACTAGCCCAGTTTGACACATGTACAGAAACATTTTACATTTCATCACAGTTTCAATACTTAAGCATTTTTCATTAGTTTTAATTTTCTTTACATAATTAAATTTTTTTTCATGCCAAATATTTTGTTAGTTTCAGTTTAGTTTTTAATAGTTTTAATTATAGTTTTAGTATTTTTGTAATATTAGTTACATATCAAGACTGACTAAAATAAATAGATAAAATTATTTAAAAGAACAGAGTTAGATATTATAAAATAATAGAAATTGCTGTGTGTAACAAAATCTCTGAATTTTTCGTAGTTTTCAAAAACATTTTAGAACATGAGAGCTACCATATATTCCAAGCAGAATAACAGAAATTATAGACTACAAAAACATGAACTGAACAGGATAAAACCAGCTGCAGAATGCAATTT